ATGTGCATTAAATATCATGCATTTTTAACTAGATGGTATTAAATAGAGGGCAATTCCAGCCATTTCAACTAAGCTGCTCAGCTTCAATGTGAACGGCAACAAAAGTGTTGCTTGCTGCTGATTCATGGAAACTAAAAAGTGAGCTCATTCCCTGCAAAAACAAACAAAACATGTTTTACAAACACCCTACGAATCACTAACAAACACACCTTGGTTTGCAACTAAATACAGATTCACATGTTGACTTGCGGCACAATATTTCTTTACTTAAAGTGCTTCAAAATGTTCTAAACTCCCTTAGGCACCTTATTGTCTATTATACTCTAGATGAGACCATGATTTAAAAAACAAGTAGACTAGAGATTAGGTTGAGTAAAATGTAATACATTAAAGGAAAGTTAGGGCAATGGTGTTTGGAAGAGTTACTGAGTACTTCCTTGATTCCTTGATTTGGAAATTGTTCAGTATTTGCAACCCACACTGTGTGTGTTAGTGAATCGTAGCGCACTTATTACGTTTTGGCAGGAAACCCGCTCCATACTGGCCTTCCAGATGGCTCTCATATGTTGAGTCCTATATTTCCAGATACTTTAAATATCTCCTTTTCCAAATGACTACAGACTACCCCCCCTTCCTCCTGCTATTGTGCCTCCTCTGCCTGTCTGTTTCTCTGGGTCTGACCTCCATGCGGTCCAGTGTGGTGCGGGAGCTGCGCACACTGCTGGCCCTGAAGCTGCTCTGCTCGGACAGCGGCCCGTAGCGCAGGGCCAGCAGCTGACTGCGCAGCCTCAGGTACTGCCTGCGCAGACCCGGCTCAAAGCCACACTTGGCGTTCTCCCTGAGCAGCTGGCTGCGGCGCCGGATGTACTGAGTTCGGAACTGGGGGAACGTAGGCGTGCGGTAAGCATTGTACCTGCAGAGAGGGAAGGAAGACACACACACACACGGTGACTCACAAGGATATTTTATACATATTTTTATATATATTTGTATTCTGGATTGTGGGAAACGGTATTTCGATCCCTCTGTCTGTACACGTCTGATTGTCTCTCTTCATCAGTGTGGAGTATTGAAAGCATGATGGAGTCTCACCTTGCGTCCACTGCCAAAACCTGCTGCCAAACTGCTGCCATTCCACAAGCAATCTGTGAAGAGAGGAGTCCACTGCCAGCGCAGATCCCTGTCACAAAACAATCAATACTTAGATTTTATAGCAACTTTAATCAGAATTGGATGTACTGATTAAAAGTCACCTATCATGCTATTTGTAGGCATAGGTCTCAGATATATGAAAATATATAAAAGCATGTCTATGAAGTGTTTTGCTCAAAATACCAAACAGATCACCCATTCTAGCCGTGCCTCATATCCCTCTATTTCACTTCCTGTTTCAAAAGTGATGATTTTGGTATAAAGCTTTAAAAAATAAAGAAATTGATAAATTAAAAAAAGGAGGGGTCTGAGCTCATGCGGGACCCGGCAGCTACTGTCTAAACTAAATGCTGCCGTGATGAAACGCCATATCATGGATTATCAAGGATTCTTTCTGAAACAGTTTGGAGCTCAAAGGCTTTCTCTCTTGCCGGTTATACCACAAGGTGAGTTCCTTTTTACTTCCTGCTTCTTCACACACATGCTCTCCAGTACAGGTTAGCTCTGAGTGTTAGCGATGCTAATGTAAACACCGACCATATTACGTCCAAAACAGTCGGGCATTGTTTCTGATAGCAACGTTTCTGATTGGGCCGTGGGTCCACATGCAAGGAATTTACAGAAACACAGTAAAAGATATATAAAAAAAGTGTTGTTTTTTTAATATGGTTAATTTTTCTGAATATCTATGGTTTATCTGTTCTGTCTTATCATCCCGGTGAAATAACATGTTATTGACTGCTTCCTTTTCTTAACACAATTAAAAAAACTAAATGAATTATGAATTATATTATATATACAAAAAAAACAGCCGCAGGTTCAGGTTATTTATTTGTTTCCGTAGGTGGATTTCACACAATATAAACATTAAAAAGTACTGTATGTGTAAATTAAGAGTTGAACAGCTCTGCAGTTTTAGATGTTGCAGTGTTCAGGGTGTCCCACACATAGACTATACTTGGGCGGGCCGCCCAGGTATATTAACGGCCGCCCAAGTATATTTCGCGACCAATTTTTTATTTTTTATTTATTTTTATAATTTTTTTTTTTTTTTTTATTCGTCCGTGACCACCACGCCATCTGCGATCGATTAACTTGTGGACAATGATCCCTCGCTCCCTTGCTCTGATCTCGCCTCGTTAAGTGGCCTGTCTCACACAGGGTGACTGGCTGTCTACATGATGTGGCCTGCCAACATGGCCACTGTCATAGAGATCATAAATCAAAGCCCTTGATTGGTCTCTGTGTGTCATTCAAGCTCGGGATAACCTCAGCTCAGGTGAGGTAAAGGAATCTCTGAGTGTTTAGATAGTTAACTTAGTTTAAGTTCTCAGTGGGTCTCAAACAGTGTGGTCACCATTTATGTAAACACATATTTCCATTTGAGAGGGTAGTGATTGATCTAATGGATAGTGAGGTGGGCTGAAGATCGGAAGGCTGAGTTCAAATCCCGCCAGGAACACCACCACTAGTGTGCCCTTGAGTGCCATCTTTACGCAAAATGATTATACAAAATGAAAACTTTTTTTTTTTTTTTTTGCGCACCCCCCCCCCCCCCTCCGCCCGCTGCCACCACCCGCCCAAGTATATTTCAGATCTGTGGGAAACACTGGTGTTATACCTAAAAGCACTAATAATTATAATAAAAATAATGTCTTTGCACTTTTCATAAAAGATATGCAGTTTAAATTGCATTACAAAAATAAAGCGCATTCAAAACGGGCAAATAGACATTAAAACGACAGTAAATGCCTAAGATATACAAGACAGAGAATTTGTAAAGAACATTTACCTAAATGACAGGACAATTTAAATGAATATGTAGTTTAGAAATGTTGTGAATAAACTCTAGATCAACTGTGTGTCACTGTTTCAGACCAAACTATTGTAATCCCTTGTTTGTTTGTCTGTTATTAAACCTGCAGGGCTGTCCCTCACGAGGTCGGTGTTCACCTCCTGTTATTATAAATCCCTTTAATGTATAAAGTTCATGACAATTGTAAAGCAGGATAATGAGAAAGGGAGGGTTTCAATTAACACTTCTCCCTTATTGCAAACCTTTATTATTCCCATAATTGCAAGTATACTTCATTGTGGCAAACGTTATCAACTATATTCTAAATGAACAAATGCAAAAAAATCAGCAAATAGCTAAACATGGCATAAATCATCTCTTCTCTTAGTGAGAATAACCTTTTGATATACATGTTTATTGATTAATAAAGACCAATAACATCACCCCCACCCATAAAAAGCATTGAATCAGGTGATGCTCTAGAATAAAATGGCACCATTAGATGATTTGACGAGTTTTAAAACCAGGAAATTATAGTTAAAGTGCAGTAAAACAGTCAAAAAGAGCTAAAATATGTGTGTATTTGGTTCAGCATTCAGACAGGAAGTAGTCTCTGACAGCTAACATTAGCTAGCAGTTAGCCACAACATCAAATACGTTTCCCTAGCTTAAATATAATTCTCCCACAAATCCTCCAATTGACATAGATAGTCTATAATTAAGGGAGTTTATACAGAGAATACGGCATTGTCTAGTCATAATTAATGACAAAAACACGGAGAAATAAGGGTGGAAACGGCTCACCTTCCTTAGCTTCTCTCCATCGCTGCTTCAACAGTCAGATCACGTGACCCGCTAAGCCCCGCCCACTAATGAGGAGCAAAATCTGATGATTCACAGCTTCAGATTTCTTTATCATTTCTTTATTCTTTTAGACAATGTGATGAAACTACTGCTATTTGATTAGATAAGGAAATGCAACATATTTGTTATTATCTTTGTCTTTTTTTGTATGTTTCTTTTTAAATCTTTAATTTGAGTCTGAACTAAACTGATAAATTAATTCTGGCTATAACGTTGACCGTCCTCAAATAAGATACAAGTAGTGGTCGAATAATTACTTAACTTAACAAAACAACAAAGAAAAAGAATAATACATGAAATCAATAAATAATAATAATAATAATAATGTATTGTTGAAGTATAATGCTTAAAAGTGTCTGAATTAGAATGTTGGGTATCCCTTATCATGGATCATGTCACTGTATATATTTATAAATAAAGCTGTGTTATTATTTGTACATTATTATATTTTTCAATTGGTTTAATATTGTTTCATTATCATCTATTTTTGATGATAAACAAAACATAGATGCCCCCCCCCCCCCCCTTTGCTTTTTGGGGGGATTAATACATTGTCAAAGAGATGTAATATATTACACAAATACAATATGTGCCACCATTTTGTTGAGTAGAAGTACAAAGCACAAGTGCACATACCTCAAAACTAAATTAAAGTACATCAATACAAATAGACCTCCCCCTCTTAAAAGTCCACACAATGGATAACGCAAGGTTAGCACATTAAGCCTCACTTAATGACGCCCTGGCTTTATCCTCCACTTACTGCTGACAACACTGAAGACTAATTCACTTTAATCATATTAATCAAATGTAACAACTACACCTTCTTATTTGGTTTTGAGAGGACAACATCCTAACCAAGTGACAAGTGATACACACTTTAAAGTAATAGTGATCCCTGACGTAGTCGACCTTATTTTTAAAATATTGGTAACACACACACTCTCACGTTAACAAGGCTTTCTTGTCGGGACAAAAGGTGCACACACAGTTCCAGTGAGTTCACAATGGCTTTATGACAAGGTCAGCTGGGAGTCTTTTTTCCGCCCGGATCAGCAAAGACCTGCAGGGCAGTGGGGATTGGGGGATTTTTTTTTGGGGGGGGGGGGGGGGGGGGGTTACTCAGCTGACGGGGCTCTTTGCTTGTTCGTGGTTCCCTTTCTCGAAGGGGCCCCAGTGACGGAGCCAT